ATTCCTTCTACAGCTCCAAGGAGGCGCCCCTGCGTGAATGAGGGAGAAACCCTCGAAAATGGCTTCAAATACGAGCTTCGGGAGATCAGATTAAGGTTTCGCGCCCGGCGCGTAAGTCTTCGCGCCCGGCACAGGGTCTTCCAAATACTCTCTGCCTTAGGATACGCCCGGCGCAATTCATTTTACGCCCGGCGTAGATGTGGCTTTGCAGAGGTGAGACTCTGTTTTGATCACGCCCGGCGCAGGTCATGTGGCGCCCGGCGCATTCACTCTTTTCTGCTCCTTAGCTTCTTAGATTTCCAATCCAAGGGATCTTCAACTTTCCACTCTTCACTCAATACCTGGACAAAAAATGAGGTGGATTAAGGTATTGTTAGATGAATTCGGGTTAGTTATATCTGCACTCAAAATGAACCAAAAGGAGAACAATTATATTGCAATGGTTCAGAGGATGAGTGGAATTGTTCAATAAGTCTCATCCAAAAAGAAGTAAAATTGAGACTTAACACCTATGCAATATTAGTTTTTGCACTTATGCAGAAAATGATTTCATCCAATCCACCTAAAATGTAGCAAGAACCCAACATGCAATCCAATATATATAATGCATACTACATATACAACACCAAAACAGCCTAAAACCACACTTGCAACCATCCTAACATCTAGATTCAACCAAGCAACCTAAGAACACAATTCAAGGTTACTCCTTCACAACATATTCAACTCATCAATTTCACCATACAACGATGAATTCAAGCTAACTAACGACTAGAAAATCATCAATAACAACAAAATTCACCAAGCTCCCTTTACCTCCAGCTGCTCTAAGAATAAAAGAATAGGATGAAAAGAAACTCTTTGAACAATTTCGACTCAAGATCTTTAGCTCCTCAAGCTTGGATCTATTAGCTCAATTTAGTATATTCAACAATAGGAAGGTAGAAAAGGGAGGATTTTTCAATTTTAGAACAAGGGGAAGATAGTTTGGGTGTAGAGAACTTCTTGCTAGCTTCTCTCTAGAATTTATTAAGATATATGAACTTATGATGTTCACGTCTTAAGAAAAATCTTATATACCTTTTTTGAGCTGAACCAACTTAACTATGTTTGAGACTATCTGAAAGGAAACTTAACCCGTAGAGTCCCTTGACTCTAGAGTTCTAAAAAAAACAACATAAAAAACACAACAACATTTAGTCACGTAATTAAATTAAAACATCCAAAACTCATAGTGTTACAATTTTTAACTAATTAAATATTTATGTTAAAGACAATAAAACTTTTATCTAAAACATTTTAATAAAGATAAATATTTAAAATAGATGGATTCTATGGTGGACCACAAATATTAACTCTAGGATCAATTTACGATCATATAATTAGGATGGACTCTCCTTACCTTAGCATTACCTATTTAACAACTTTGTGTCAAGTGCCAACACTGTATGTTGTTATCGACCATTGTCAGTTGTCATTGCACCACCATCAACCATTGTGTGCCATTGTTAACCATCGTGTCATATACCCAACTACTTCATCAACCTCATTATATCTCTCTTATCTCTTTCCGCGTCCTTCTTTTCCACCCCAACACCGACCTCATCCTCTTCAACTATGGACCTTATTACAGGGTGGAGCCATAACTTATCTTGAGGGGGGGGAAATTTTTTTATCACTTATATGTAAATATTCTAACATCATAACTAATTTATTATCATTCATTTATACTTCTTTTATCTCTCTTTCTATTAGCTTATATATCAATCCTACATATATTTCTCTATTTTTCTTTTTATAAGTATAAATTAACATGATAATTTTCATCTATCAACCTATAATATGCATATATATATATATATATAATAAATTTTAGGCAGCCAAATCTTTTAAAAATAATTTTGATACATTTTTAAAAATTGGGGTGTGTGTGGGGGGGGGGGATTCATGACCCCTCTAGGTCCTCCACCCCTGGACCTTATTTCCTATTTGTCTCCTCCCATTGTTGGAAGTATATTTTAAAATTTAGAAAGCATACTTTTATTATAGTAATAATAAAAAAAATATTATTTCTAATTAATTATTCATTGTATAATCAACAAGTCATTCCTCTGAAAATAATGTCTTCATAAAATTTACAACCTTGTATCTAATGTATGCAATACTAAAGATAGATTAAAAATTTGGTGTTTAAAAATTGTTAAATTAAGAATATAAAAAAAAATAGGATTTAAAAAAATAATAAAGATAAGAGTCGTTGATTGTCTTGAAAAAAAATTGAAAAGTAGGGAGGGGGGTTCGGGGTAAGGTGTCTAATAGAAATGAGAACTAGGAAGCATATGTAAAATTTGCCTTAATAAGATAGGTTAAGAGGATTTGAACCACTCCCTCTTTATCTCTCTAATCTTATTTCTCTCCCCTTACGCGACCTATATATCACCTTATAATTTTTTTATTTATTAAGGGGACTATTAACAATACAAGTTGAACTCATTGGTTGAAAAACATATTTCTTAAATTCCAACTAATTTTATTAAGAGAGTGTATTGGATTGAGATTTCATAAGACTTTTTTAAACAAAAGAGTCTTAAAATTTTTAAAAGATTTTGTAGAAATTTAATAACTTTTAAGATTTTTTTTAAAAGACTTTGTAGGAATATAATGATTTTTAAGATTTTTTTAATCAAAATTTTGCAATAGAGATTTTAATGAATTTGTATCTTAAGAATTCATAATATTTGAAAGGATTTTGTTATATTTCAAAGGATAATAAAAATTTTAAAAAACAATAAAATTAATAAATAAAAAAAATAACATAAATGATAAAGTTTAAATAAAGAAAATAAAATCAATAAATTTTTTAATATTTTAATAAATAATTGATTCTAATTTTATGTCCTCTTAAGTAGTATTTATCTGCATACAAATCTCTATAATTTATATTTTTTCATTCATACTATTGAATTTGAACAATATGTTCAAATTTAGATATTCATTAATCGATAGAATTTTCAAAATATATTTTAATATATATTTAAAATTTTGATATTTCAATATCAATTTTATTGAGAATATTTTTTAAAAATTTTAATAATTAAAAAATTTAACAATATATAATATTTAATAATTTTAAAAATAACTTTAAATATTTAATAATTTTAAAAATAACTTTAAATATTTAATAATTTAAAAACAAATATTGATAAATTATACATCAATATTGGTAAATAAAAATGTAACAAAAGACATTAATAGATAAAAAAAAAGATAAGAGAAAAAGAAAAAGTAAATGAATAAGGATAATAATGAGACAGGTCGGGGCAGGTTTTACTCTCCTCGTCCCTGTTTCATAAAAGGCGGGGTAAGTTAGGGTTTTAAAAAGACGAGTTTATATTTTTAAAACACATTCTCTTCCCCATCAGATTTTGTTAGATTCAAATAAACCCATGAAGACGCATCACATTTTTTTTAATTTTAATTTACTTATATATTTTAAATAAATTAAATTATAAATTAATAATTATATTATAAAATAAATGATATATAAAAATAATAAATAGAAAAGAACTTATAAATAGAAAATTTAATAATTAAATTACATTTTTAATTAAACATATAATTTTAAGTTTGTTGCTTAGTGCTATAATTTAAATTATTTAGTTATTAAAATAATTAATTTATATTTCAATATATATATATATGTATTTTATATATATATATATATATATATGTATATATGTATTATATATATAATGTGCGTGTATTTTTTTTTTCTAAAAAAAATGTAACGAGCGAGTATGGGGACAGAGGTAGGATGAGGAGTTATATACCCGAAGTTGCACACAAATCTGATTTCTCAAGCGGGGGGAAACTTGTATCGATCAAAGCGATTCTTCTAGTTAAAATTGAGTTAGAGTCAAATAGATACTCACGAGTGGGAGTTTAGTTATCATGCTTATAAATGAGAGAAGCGAACAAAAGGAAAAAAAGAATGAGATATAGAGAACACATGAAGAGAGGGGGGAAGAAAGAGAGAGAAACAAAAGAAGAAGATGAGATTGGGAAGAGAGAGGAGAAAACGAGCTAGAGAGAAAAAATAAAAAGAAGTAAAAAAGGCAAAAGAGAAAAAAATCATGCTAAATCTCAATAATTTCACTTAAATTGTTTGATGAGTTATATGTAAATTTCACTAAAAAGTCTCATAAAATCTATCATTCAAAATAATTCATTGAAATCTCTATGTTTTTGAATATTAACAAACTTTTTTTAGTAATTTTTTTTATTAATTACCATCAGATTTTGATGTATTCTTTTAAAAAAATCTTCATTGTTTTAATTGAATACCACATGAATTTTTATATTAAAAAAATATTGATTGAATATTACTATTTTTTTTATAAAAAAATGTTCTTTAAAATCTTTTGAAATTTAAATAAAATACACTCCCAATGTATAATTGTCACTCACTACATAACACGTAAATCAATTGATGTGAGGTTATTTCAACTTAATTAATAATCTTATGCTTAAGTATTGAGTATGCGATTATGTTAAATATTTAATGTGAGAACTTTGTCATTCATATTTAATGTGAGAATTTTGTTATTCATAATAGTCTTACTTAATGTGAATGATAATTAATAAATATATTTATTAGATAATTATTATTTTAAATCATAATTATTCGTTAAAGATATTTTTAAGATAAAGTTTCAAATTATGATATTATTAATTATAGTTAACTAATTTAGCTATTTTTATTGAATTAGGTACCTATTTATTATATACAAGAAAAAAAATAATATCAATTAGCATTTTAAATACTTGTGTTAATATTTATAAATTAGGTATTTGTTATTTTTTTATACATCTAGGAGGGGACAAAATTTACCAGAAATTGGGTTTGAGAGTATGACATAAGAAAATTTGACCTACCGAAAGATTAGAGTTCACACGAGTTATTATTATCCTCTTAATTAATCAGATGTTCGAAGGAAGAATCATGAGTCACAGATTTCATTCTCATCGCTTTCTCTCTCCAACTGATAAGAAACGTAGTCCCATGTGGGCTTTTAGGATCCACTCACTCGCCTCTAACTCTTGTGTGTTCCTTCTTTCCACTTCAAACTTGTGAGCTAGAAACACCCTTCTTTTTTCATTCTTTCCATTCTTCTTCTTCTCTGTTCTTCCTTCAATGGCCTTACATCGCTCCTGGGTCTCTGCCTAACGTGAAATTGGCCTCATTTTCCATCTGGGTATTGTGAATTGGGATTGAGACTGCGTTTTTTCGCTTCTGGGCCTGGCTCAGAAGTCAGAATGATGTGTGTGACAGGCAAAAGCATTGATTTTGCTGGCAAAAACTTGGTCTCTTGTGGCTGTTCTTCCAATGCTTCGTTTGACAGGTACACTGTGAGGAGCTGCGTGAAGGTGAATTCCAAAGGGTGTGGTGGCAGTGGCAGAGGCCATGGGGCTCGTAAATTGGTTTGTTGTAGGAGGAGGAACACTCAATGTCGTGTTTCTTCTATGAAGACTGCGGAGCCTACGCTGAATGGTATAAGATTGTGTTATTTGACGTGTTGTAAGGTTTTAATTTTATCAATAGGAATGTGTGTGTGTGTGTGTGTGGTAGAGGTGGTTCATGTTAGTTACTTGTTTGAATGAGGAAAAATATGATTGGTGTTGGTTATATTTGTGGAACTAGGCATTGAAAGTTTTGGTTTTTGAATAGGGGGGACTAAAGCAATTGAAGGCCTTACCACAGGATTGGACTTGAAGGGTTATTCTGAATCCCCCATTTCGCCGGCTAGGTTGTTTGAAGTGGTTGCTGATGATTTGCTAACTCTCAATAAAAATCTTCAGTCGGTAAGTTATGCTTTTGGGGTTGATGCTTTGCGATGTTTTGTTTAGTGTGAATGGTTTATAACTGTTACTGTCCCATCTTGGGAAGTCTTTTGTTGTTGTTCTATCTGTCGTGGGTGAAATTTGCCTTCACCAGACCAGAAAAGCATACAATTTTGCATGGAAGGCAACATGGGGCGTTGGCACTGGATGATCCTTTCTTTTCTCGTCGTCGTTGTTGTTAACCTTTCTTGAAATCCTTTTTTGGGTTTTGTTGGATAGCAACATGTTTCTTTGTATCTTGATGCCAGTTTATAAAGTACAATGTTTCAGGATTAATTTTATGAAATTTTATTTAATTTTTAATGAGATTGGATGATTTTTATGGTCATTCTCGGTTGATTTTGTTGTACAAGTCACTACTCCCTTGTTAGACCTTTCTTTTTGTAAGAATGTTTATCAAGTCAACTGGTGCCATGTCCTTTTAGTTACGATCGGATCTTTTTTGCCTAACTTTAAATGTTTCTGATAAAGATGCTCTGATAGATTGTAGGTGCAGAAAATCCAGTTTTAATGTCTGCAGCTGAGCAGATTTTTAGTGCTGGTGGGAAGAGGATGAGACCAGCTCTGGTGTTCTTGGTGTCAAGGGCAACTGCTGAGCTACTTGGCTTGAAGTAAGCACAGGATTCTGTTTCTCTCTCTCTCTCTCACACACACATGTGCGCATGCACATGTATGATATATGCACAGGCACAGACGCAAGTTCTTTGGCTGACCTAATTCTATGACAATAAAATGTTGAAAACTGTGTTGAAATGGATGACTCCAGGGAACTTACTGTAAAGCATCGACGTTTAGCAGAGATAATTGAAATGATTCATACTGCAAGTTTGATACATGATGATGTACTAGATGAGAGTGACCTTCGACGAGGTAGGCCTGTGATTTCTCTTTGTATACCAATTTAGTTTTCCTGACATCACTTTAGATTTCTGGTTGTGTGTCTTATTTAGCAAGATGCATGCTATAGAGAAGTTTTTTCTCATACAAGATAGTTGTTTTGATTTTAAGCTGGGATAAAATGTTATAATTTATTTGATCAAGAATTTCCTTGCATGTTCTGTTTGTATAATAGCCTTGTCACTTGGTCTTGCATCATGCTTAGAATTTGTTTCATCGAAGTCTTTGATCTGGTCCAGAACTTGTTACTTAGTGATGATTTTCTGCATGACAAGACTATGCACCCACTTTGTCTAAGAAAACATCACTTTAGGGGACTAAGAGTGACAAAATAAAATAGAGAACTGAACCAGATTTTGGTACTGAATTCTGAAAGACAAAAAAGTTCACATTAGAAGCTATTGTACATGTGAATAAAGAATAAAAAATTCTGTATATGTCACTTTATTTTTCTATCATCTGTTGAGCTAATACCTGCTAGAGTCCCTCCACCCACCTAGAAAATGAAATAAAATAAAGCGGATAAAAGAATAAGAAAAAACACTGGTAAGGTGTGTATCATCAGTGCTTGATTATTATTGGTTGCATGGAGTGCATCTCTTTAAGCAATTATGGAAAACCTAAATAGCATAGTCCCAAGCAAGCTTTGGTAAAATGTATCCTTTTGACAGGCTGGCAGTACCAGTTTATATAATAGAACTGAGAACTAAGAGAGAATATATTTCTCAATACATGCTCATGGGATTTCTAGTAGTGGAAACTGGAAAAATGATATGTTCTCCAAATATAAATTCTGGATAGATCTTAAAAGTTTAAACACCTTGCTTGGATTGAACTTGAATTTTTCAGTTCCTGTTTTAATGCATTCATTTTGTTAGATATGTTTTATATAAACTTCTTGTTGTCTTGATAAAATATCTTAAGATTGCATAATGGAGAATTGAACATGATTAATCTGTAAGAATCTTGCATGTCATTAGACCAAAGCTACGTATCACCTTAAGAAGTGTCAATATTTTTTCTTCTCTAACTCCTCTGCTGGTTTCATTCTCCTCTATTTGAACTAAAATGTGATTGCTATGTACCAATAGGGAAGAAAACTGTTCATCAAATGTTTGGAACAAGAGTTGCAGTGCTGGCTGGAGACTTCATGTTCGCACAGTCATCATGGTATCTAGCCAACCTTGAAAATATTGAAGTCATTAAACTTATCAGCCAGGTTAGTTCCATCACCATACACCTGAAGCCAGTGATTTTAGCAGAGGGTGTGAAGTGATTCACAATCCCATTTTCTGAAGTTCTTTTGCATTACTATTTGGTGGTGACAGGTTATCAAAGATTTTGCAAGTGGGGAAATAAGGCAGGCATCTAGCCTGTTTGATTGCGATTTACATCTTGATGAGTATCTAATTAAGAGCTATTATAAGACAGCGTCCTTGATTGCTGCCAGCACAAAAGGAGCTGCGATCTTCAGCGGTGCTGACAGCAGCATCACTGAGAAAATGTATGAATATGGAAAGAATCTTGGTCTATCCTTCCAAGTTGTGGATGACATATTGGATTTCACTCAATCCGCCGAGCAACTGGGAAAGCCAGCTGGCTCCGACCTTGCCAAGGGCAACCTGACTGCACCGGTAATCTTTGCATTGGAGAAAGAACCAAAGTTGAGGGATATCATTGAGTCTGAATTCAGTGAGGTTGGTGCCCTTGATGAGGCCATCAATTTGGTCAAGGGTTGTGGGGGCATTGAAAGAGCACAGGAGTTGGCAAAAGAGAAAGCTGATCTTGCAATTCAGTGTCTCCAATGCCTTCCCCAGAGTGTGTTTCGTTTAGCTCTTGAGGATATGGTGGCATATAATCTTCAACGGATTGCATAAGCTTATGCATGCTGAGGACCCCTTTAAAGAATCACAAAAGCATTCTTTTGGTATATAGGGATGAGAGCCCTGAACTTTTTGTCATGTCAAGAATTTCCAACAAATCTACTCCTGTGCTACTTTTGGGGCATTAGTATAGACATTGAAGGACAAAGCAAGTGCGCATTCTCATCATTTAATATATTTTGATGAGAACATAATATATTTCATTATTGTATCAATACACATCTCCAGTATATTCTTTTTCCAATCTTCCTTTCTGGAATCTTGAAAACAGTAATAGAATAAAAAATGATGATTGATATTTTTTTTTCTGATTCCTTTTCTCATGTATTTTCTGATGATAGCATACAATTGGACTTGTAAAGTCCATCTTGTCTTGGTCTTGCTCATTCATCATCATGCTTTCTTCTATTCTATCACTATAAAAGATTTTCAAATTTAAGTATTTGCAATCATAACATTTCGTTATGCAAATTGAATCCTCTGATTAATTTATTTATTATGGAAAAATAGAACTTATATTAAATAATACAATTATGGTTTAAATATGTTTTTAGTCCCTCAAATTTAAAATTTTTACTTTTAGTCTATGTTATTTTTAAAAATTTTGTTTTAGTTTCTCAAGTTATCAATAATATATCTGAAAGTAACAGATTGTGAAAATAACAGACTGAAACAGTTATGTTATTTTTAAAAATTTTGTTTTAGTTTCTCAAGTTATCAATAATATATCTGAAAGTAACGGATTGTGAAAATAACAGATTGAGATAGTTATGTTATTTTTAAAAATTTTGTTTTAGTTTCTCAAGTTATCAATAATATATTTAAAAGTAACAACAGATTGTGAAAGTAACATATTGAAATAGTTATGTATTAGTTAGGTTTAATGTGATGTTTTTACTAATAGAAACATTAAAAGTTATAATTTTATGTGATAATATTTAACAGGTTCTTTAACAAAATTTGAATATAAGAATTAAAATATTTTTTTATTTGTAAGACTAAAAAGATTAGTTTTAAATTTAAAAAATTAAAAATAAATTTATTTTAAATTTGAGAGACTAAAAACATATTTAAATTTATAATTAAAATAGTTTATCATTGTTGAATGTTGGATTTTGTTTTTGTTTTTAACAAGACAAATGTTAGATTTAGTGTTAACTTTTGTCGAAATCCCACATGTAACCAAATTTTATCAGTTTGGAATTGAGATTCGCTTTGAATGCAACCTCTTAGGTTTTATTTAATAATTCCCTAAGCTTGTGACAATGTGACATGATATCAACTCTAACAATGTGAATTTGGGTGTAGTGTTCATATTGACTCGTGTCTTTGTTAGAGTTCAATTGGTCATAAGCTCATTATTAACTACTTGGGATAGTTTGAACATCATAGAGAGCATGAGATTTGACCTTGAGATAACATTCGACTTTTGGCGCATATGTTGAGAGAACTTCTGAGTAAGCTACACTTAAACATTTTCTGATTCTTGTTCCATACAAAATTAAGAATTTTATTTTATTTTATTTATAAGATTATTTCCTTTCATTATATTTTGTGAGTGTACATTAATGTACATACATATGCATGAATTGATAATCTTTTGAGTTAATTATTTTTATTTTTATTTTAATTTATAAATTTTAATAATAATTGAATAAACTACTTTTTATCATACATATTAAAAAAATCTGTACATGTATTTAAAAATATAATTATTGATTAAATAAACTTTTAAATAGATTAATAGGTCAGACTATACTTTTAAAAAGTTAAAGTCAATCCTATAATAAAATTTATGATAAATAATAAGTTAGATTTAATATTTAATTTTATGGAATAGGTCATGTATATTCAAAGTCTAGCATGACTTGACATATTTTCATCCCTATATGTAAGTCATGAAAATTTTAACCTAACTCAACTCATCATGGATTAGTGAATTAGAAGAGTTAACTCATTAGACTTTTTAAAAATAAAATAATTTAAAAACAAAACTTTGTTTTTGTTTTTCCATATTTTGAAAATACTTCCACCATCCTTTTCCATCTATGCACTATTAAGTCATTCACACCTCTTTCTCTTCATGCAATTACACCCATTTTACTTTTCTTTAAACACCTCCCCTCCCTCTTGTACAACCCTATTTCTTTTGTCTTCTTTCACTGTCATTTTTTTTACTTCTTTATCCGTCAATTTCAATGAATAACAACTTATTAAATAAAAATAAAAGTGATTTTCAAAACATCAATATAGAAATCATGAATTTTGAAATCTAAATTTTTACAAATTAAAAGATTCACATTATCTTTACATCAATAACATAATTTGTACTTAAAACATAAATTAAATAATTGACACTTCAAAAGCCATAAATTTCAAAAGAAAATGAAAGTGAATGAAATAGTTTAATGCACAACAATATTCTTTGTCGATATGTCACAGTGGTGAAAGCTCACGACTCATAACATAAATGTAAACAACACAAGATAATGCTTAAACTGCATGTCTAATATTAAGTTCAATTTTTGGATGAACTTTGTGTTTGAACATTTAGTCAAAACAAAGCACAAAACAACAAAAGCATGGAAGAACGAAAATATATTCTCTCATCATGCTTAAAGTATAACATTAACAATAAATAGAACACACACACATTATGATACACTCCTTCAACTTCATATAATATATAGGATCTACTTAACAAATACTAATAATCATGTTTAATGTAATGCAATGTTATCCTAATTCCATTTCATGTCATGTGGTACTGACTTTAACTTATGAAATAATTTATTAATACACTGTCTACCTATAAAAATACCATCAATATTTGATGCCTTCAATATATACCACACTACACTAGAATGCTATCTGATATCCACTAGTAGCTTGTCGAGGTTATTCAGATTTTTCCAGTATGCCTTGGTCTTATGGGATCAATATAGGTCATCGGGGTTTTCTCTCTAGGTCTCTAAAATCCTCAAGGCCCAAGATAAACTTGTCATGAACTCCACCATTCACTTCATGTCTATTTAACTCTAACTCAAAGATTCAATGTAATGATGATTGTCTCATATCAATGCAAATACGAGTGAGCTCGTACTCACCCCTCATGGCTAGGTCATTCACCGTTGAAATACTACTTGAGTCCATTCCCGTCATCTCATAAGATAGGCCACTTGTCTTAATGACATTCATCCTCAACACACGTTATGCAATAAAGGTCATGTAATATAACTTCACAATGTACAAGCACACTAAGTTTTCAATTCTCAAAATTTTCCCAACTAACATCAATTATAATTAAATGAGAATCAATTAAGACAAGTTGATATTAATTTTTGATAGGCAAAAGAATAAATTGAATCCTATTAAAACATAAACGACTAAATTGAACCTAATTAAAAACATAAAAGACCAAATTGGACTTGAATACAACAACTCCACTAAATCAAATCTACCCGCTACACTAAATCAAACATAATCAATTGCAACTCAGGGGAGAGTCAAACCAACAAGACAATGAAACTCCCAATCTAGATATTTGTAGACTAATTTTGTTTATCTACTAGGATATAAAGTCTTTATTGAACCTTTTCATAAAGTGATTTTAACTACCTCTTAATATGCACAATTTTGTTTTTAGACTAATTTGAGATAATTATTTTTGTAACGACTATAACAATCAAAACTTTACATTTGTAACAAAATTTGCTAACACGTAAAACTTTAACTTCATGATATTATTACATGAATGCGCATGTTTTCTTACTCATAATTAGTTCAGAATTAATTGGTTGTGTTTGAATACATTCTATATTATTTATAAGTATTTCAATTTTTTTTATCTGTTAAGAAATTATGCTAATACCCTTTATTTTTGCAAATACCATTTATATTTATTCATATAAATAAAATTATAATATTAACACCAACAAGTTGTTGGTTTTAAAAATATTATTGTTGCTCTAAATTCATGTTTGCACAAGGTTTTTTTATATTTTTTATTGGGGCGTCAATGAAAATGGTGTAGTTATTACAGGCTTGGAAAAGAAAGCCCAGAGTTAACGAGAAAGATGCGGTTCGTCGGTTACATAGCGCAATGGAGAAGCGCGGCGAAGGAAGCTTTGGATCGCACCTCCATCGCTGTCAAATTCCTCTGCTGGCTTCACCTCACCAGCAACTACCTCTGTTCCCCATGTCACGTATTATCATCCTTCGCTTCAAACACTACTTTTTTTCTTCTTCTCTCTATTCTATTCGCTCAATTGCGTAATCCCCTGCTTGCAGGCGTACGGGGTCAGCATGCTCCCCACGCTCAACGTCGCCGGCGACGTCCTTCTCGCCGACCACCTCTCGCCGCGGATCGGGAACATCGGCCACGGCGACTTGCTTGTGGTGCGGTCCCCTCTGAACCCTAAAATTAGGTTGACGAAGCGCGTCGTCGCCATGGAAGGGGACACCGTCACTTACTTCGACCCTAAGCACTCCGAGGAAGCTCAAGTTGCAGTGGTGTGTGTGCTTAATGGTTTGTTCTTCATTTGCTCTTATAGCATGATTAATCTGTGTTTTTTGTAGTACATACATACATACATACATACATACATGATTGTGTGAAAATGTATCTAGTTCATGGTTTTGAGTGTGTTTGGATAAGCATCTGAAGCACCTGTAGGGAAACAACGTATAACA